AAGTTATATACTCGTATTTTAGACTAATTAATGTATTGTTTTCTCTTGAAAAAGTTCTCTTAGTTTTGTTGCAATTTAAGGTATACTTTTGGCATATATTTAGCATGGGGATTGGCCTATGGTGTGCATGATACATGTAACAGAATCATCCCGTTGCAGTTGCTTTTAATACCGCAGAAAGGATGATGTCAAATGTAGCAAGATGAATAAATGAAAATTTGCGCAAACAATTGCTTATTAATATATATAGCAAATTCCAAAAATTTCAAATGTCAAATAGCGTTTTACCACTTTCGCGATTTTGATGAAAACTTCCAGAGGCTTCTTGTTTTATATTGGCATGATAGCGAATATTTCTTCAAATTATTCTCTAACAGATCTTAATCAACACCACTCGATCTGCATATTACTAGATTTATTTCCACACAAGCGGAGTTTTGGTCTTCATTCATCCTTACTTTTGCTGTGACACCCTGGTAAACCCTTTCTTTTTTTAGCAGAAAAATCTTTTTGTAACAGGAAAAATCGAAATAAATAACCACAAACAATTTCATATTTACGAGGCGACTTTAAAGCATGTCCTGCACTCGTGTGGTCTTTAATAATATTGCATCGTCACTTGAAGCAATGGAACAATCAAATTAAAAATGATGCTATTAAGTCATTCAAACCTAAAAATCTTATTTTTGTCGTGAGCATTTAAATCATTTCAGTCTTCAAAAAATTAACTCAGCCAGAAAAAAGTAAAGAAGGTATAGGAATGAACTAAAAATGTCATTTCAAATAAAGGTAAGACGCAATAAATCAATACTGATTACCGAGCAGCGACAACATAGAATCATACAATAATAAATAAATAAAAAAGACAAACAATAAATACAAATAAAAAGTGTACATATTAGGCGATTTGATATTGCGCGTTTCACTGGATAACGACTAAGATCGCGACAAGCAGGGTAGCCATGGCAACGGCAACCCAAAGAATGAATAAAACAAGCAGATCTATTCAAGGGATAACCTTTTCGTTTCACTCATCAATGGATATATTTTCTGGGTCAAGTGGGTACCAAATGTAATCATTTGGTCTCCCTAGACACGAAGTCTGTCCCGACAGAACACTGGTAGTTCGTAAGCTGGTCATTCACGTTCGAGGATAGTGTTCACGTCTTCTTCCGCCACACATGCGTTGCTTCAGTACTTGCCATAAGCTTATGTTTCTCTGACAAAAGATGAAGGAAATATTTTGTGATTTGAATCACAAGTCTGAAAATTTATTTATTCATTGATTTTGTTAATTTAGTTTTACTTAGATAATAACATTTCATCATCCATAAAAACTTGCGTAGATGAGGGCAGCTTGAGCGATTAAAAATTTCAATTTTTTTTGGTTTAGGTTTATAAAAGAGGTTTAAATTTTCATTTATCTAGCAAGTGAAACTTATACAAGGTGGCAAATTTTGGATGACGTCATAGCACACAAAAAACGAATGCTATAAAGCTCACAGAAATATTTGAAATAAATAAATTCTATGTCAAAGAACAACAACAACAACAACATAACAATCTATAGGTTCACCACGTGTCCAAAAAGCAATAATAAATTAACTTACTAAAACCGTATTCTGTATTTGAAGGTCTTGCTGTAAACAAAACAAAAAATATTTACGAATCGTCTCCATACAAGAATAGTAAAAAGATACTGACGAGTGAGGCGTACATTTTTTCAAATGGTTTCATTTACTGTTTTGACTTGCTCTATATGAAACTGAATCGGTCACTGAAGGAGTCTGTTTTAAGTAATTAATTTGTACTATACAAAGTTATAAATTTAAATAAGTACATTGCAATAACAAGGCATGAAAGTCTGTCAGAAGTTAAGTGCACTCAGATCGTAAACGTATTTAGTCGAACAAATAGTTTGAGCCAAATGAAAAGTATTCACATTAACTTTGCTTTGCCAGCGGAATTCTATTAATGAATATAGATTTACAGTATAGGTTGTATATGTGTTTGAATGGCGCTCCAGAAGTGGGTGTACCGATATGGAGATAACTAATTTTGTTACCCTACGTTACATCAAGTTGTGTAAAGGAACTGAAAACTATGGGAGGAGTATATTCAATTGGCTACCACAGACAGTCCCCGAACTCGTAATAGGACTAAAATAAGGAAAATCGGGAGTACCGTTATGATTTCTATTTACTAGGAGAGTACCGTTTGGATTTCTATTTCTTACCTTTTCGTCTTCTAGTTGTAAAATTCTCTGATTCTGTAATTGGACTTGATTTACCTGAATGTAAATAAAACCGTTTATTATCTGTAGAAAATATGACATTTTGCATTAAACATATTAATTTTATACCGATTTTACCTCTGAGTTATAACATGAAAATCAAAAATATAGCCTCTTAATTCTAATCTCTACCCAGGCGTGGTCCAAGCCGAAATTCATTGAAAGCTGTTACTGTTTTCAACGTGAAAAGTTCTTTAAGGTGCATCAATTTCAATACGTATGCTGAGAGACTGTATGATACGCATATATATAAGTATAAAATAGACTTACTAAATTCGTTTGAGCAATATTTAATTTTGAATTTAGGTCTTCTTCTACTCCCATTTTTGCGGCGACCTGAAACAATCGAAGACGTTTTATTTATTTAGTAAGATATAATGCAAGAAACGTGGACGTTGGCCTAACTAACTATTGTTAACGGTTCCCGATGCCTCTAACGGTAAAACAAACTAAACACACAACCTATAGTTATAATACGATCACAAGTATCTCATTTTTCCAAACCTATCAGCGGCTGTGTCTAAGTCACTGGAATAGATGAAAAAATGTTGTTTAGAACCAACTATGCCAAATTAACTTCTAAGTTCTATTCCGGAAATTCTGAGTAATTTTCCTGAAATCTTTTCAACCCGAAAGGTCACAACCCCGAAACGGATTTGCTGACTATCATGACATTCCAACCCGTGTGAATCACTGAATAAAGCCATAACGTTGAATGTATTTAATGTTTTTCGGTTCGGAAATCATGAACAATGATTTGTGAAAACCGTTTACCTTTTCGATTTCTTACAATGTGCTACTTACTTCGGCGTCTAAATCTAGTTTTAGTTGAATGTTTTCTGCTTCCAACATTTCGCATGTACATTTCTTAAAATAAAAAGTGCATACGTCTTACTCAATATGTAGACAGGAAACAATATTAGAATATTCTATCGTTTTTAATTTATAAGGAGAGATGTTTAGGATGCTCCGAGGAATTGAGCATTATCGCCATAAATATAAGTGGTGCAGTATTTTGCCCCATTCATCACAATTTCAGAACATTACACAAACTAGCGTCTCCCGGAACTTGAATATAAAAGTTCGGCAACCTCATACATTTGTATGTGTGAGCGTACGAGCCAGGACGGCAATTGGGATTTTTAACAACCTTTCAGAATCATTTATTTGTTATCTAAATGAAAAAAAACTTCTGTCAGACTTACTAAATAAGAGATCAAAATAGTATAAATGAGCAGAAAACATCAATTTTGTTTTTACTGAATTGGTTTACACTTATTACTGTATTACAATATATATTATATTCTCTCCATTGCAAGCAATATCACGATAGCTGGTCAACAATAACATAATAATAATCTTACCGACATTCTTTGCATTAATCGGCTTCTGTCCGCTTCCAATCTTGTGCACAAGCTCTCCTAAATATAAAATGTATAATTAATATCATGATATTCAACTTTTTCTCATTTCAGTGCGTTCACCATCGGTTTTAATGTAATTAAAATATTCAAAAGTTATTAGGGCACTTGAAAAGAAAGCTAACAAGGGCAGTCGAATAAATTCACCAATTTCTCAGATATTGCCATTAAAATTTTTCTCAATATTTTGAAAATAAATTTATTGTCTAATGATATGGCGTCATTATTTTTGACGCCATCATTTTAGAGCAGTGGTTCTCAAACGGTGGGCGCGCCTCACAAATGGGGCGTAGACGATTTTTGAGGAGGCGTGAAGCTGATTAAAAATGCAAAGATTTATGTATCCATCAATGTATTTTCAACGTGTTAAAGTTCAAAGACCACTGTTATAGAGGAAATATTATTCGGTATGCTACATAGATATTATTCGATTAATCATCAATACCAAAATGGTAAAGGAGATGCCGTATCTGGCAACACTCACATATTCAGATAATTTGCTGCGTAATACTTCGTTCTGAACCTCGATCTTGTCGCATCTTCCGATTTTCTGAATAGCAGATAAAAGTTTTTATTGGGTTGAGTTAAAATCTTATTAATAAATTGATATCGCCTTAATTAAGCAATGTTTGAGAGATATTTCTCTTAAATCGACACAGCCACTCCCATTTTTTCAAATGTTTACTTTTTAATCATATGACAGCCAGCTTCTTTCTACACGGAATAATTGCAGGGTTCAAATACAAAACTCGAAATAATACGAAGACTTTTGTGAAAATGTATGATAATAACTAGACAAGAGACAAATATTTTAAACTTGTACTTTTTTTCGTAAAGCATTTGTGCTTATGGTATATAATTTACTGAAAATAATAGTAAAATTTATCCAGAGTAAAAAAGGAGGTTAACTTGAGGTGGTAAAAATGAATCGTTTTACCATTGAACATATTCGGAAATAGTCTGACATATGGAGTGTATTACCCGTGTTTGATCGGAACTATTTGAAAAGAGCAAGTTTAAAACACACAAAAGCAATTTGCTGATTCCACTCACGTCATTGGTTTCTTCAGCAGCAAGTTCCGCGTGATACTTCAGTTGTTCGATTATGTATTGTGGTCGAATGTCCTTTTCTCCCAATACCGCGTCCGAATTGGTTATCTGTAATGTATAGGGACTCGTTAAATAATTCATTATACACATTTCAATTTGCGAACAAATATATTCTTGCAGTCGACAACGTAGAATGATATTTATACTCCGTGACGCACGTGATCTTGTGATAGGATGTTGCTAGTGCTGGTTACCTTAGTGATCAACAGCTGATTGTCACCTCATCGAAAGAGGTGTTCCCAAAACAAAAGAGCAATGCACATATATATGAATACGGAAGCCAAAACGAAGCAGAAAGGGTAACTAATCTTTTACAGTAGGCTACTGGGACGTTATCCTAGTCTCCTAGACTTGGACTGACCAATGACCACCAGATCGCAACGATCGCAAACGCGGAACAGGGTGCTCAATTTCGATGACGTCATCACGAATAAAAAAAATCGAATTTCTCGAAGCTCACAAAAATTTGAATTAAATAAAGGTAGTAGCCTTTAGAGCGAAAACGACAATTTTTACGTACTGGAAATTTTAAAACAATCGGTCCAGTGGTTCGAAAGTAAAGTGATTTTTCCGCAGGAACGATAACAGCAAGTTTAACTAAGAAGAAGAATACCAACAACATAATAACAAAACGATTCATAGGTCGACTCCGTGCCCAATAACCAAGCTTCGTGGGTGTATTAAGTGATTGAAGTGAGCACACTAGCAAGAGTACAAACATCAAGAGGTGGTTCGATCATCATGTGTGGTTCGATATTTTGTTTTGGCGGTGCTAGGTGATCTGATTACAAAACACTCGGCATTTGGTTTTCTAGCTACTTCTCTTTATGGGACCACGATCGAGTAAAAATAAGATAAGTCAAGGCAAAATCTATGCTTGTGACGTTTCTTCAAATTCCATTGTTGTTGTCATATTTTTATATTTAATTACGACCCCTCCTCTGCAGAGGCGCCATTTTGAAACCATTGCTCTATAGTTAAACAAATTTACAGTAGCAATGTTAGTTTCACTCACCACATCCATGTCGAGGTATTTCATCTGAAGGTCTTTTAAGTGATGCTTATTTTTATTCTACATCTATATAACATGATAAAAAATATGATTCAAAAAATCGGCAAAAGCTTTTTTGAACCTGTAACCTTGGAGTGAAGTACAGGCTTTATTTTCATTGTAATTAGAATCTATTCCTCACAATACACAATGTAATTCGATCTATTCGACAGCAACATATGTCGTCACGCTAATAACCGAATTGCGTAAGTCATTTTGGGCGATTTTGAGTTTTTTTTTATAAAATAGGTATTTATGTAATGCTGCGCACCTGTCTGTTAACTCAGATTATTTTTAGAATTCCGAAACCCATAAAAATGGAGATTTAGTATGACATGCACATTTGTGCAATTGTTTCGTCATAAAGAATTATCTTTGTTACCGCAAGACTATTGTGACGTCACAACGGTAAAATAACCTCGGCTAAGTATTTTCGAGTTTTTGCATCTCGGATTCTAGCTTAGCGCGTATTAATTTGAATTTATACTACAGTATAGTAAGACGTGCACTTGCGATATTTACTGTCCGAGTCCAATTTACCTTGGTTGGCTTTTATATTGGGTGCATTGCTGTTTTATTCTTTATATTTAATCTTAGTCTTACTTCAGTGGGTGTGCAGAACGTGTTATATTGATGAAATATATATTTTTAAAAATAAAAAATAATGTAATTGAAACTGATTAGCTATTTTGGGGATTAGACATTGTAGATACTGAGAATTACATTCGTTTTTGGAATGTTTAGTTTTCAGGACTGATGCATATAGTAAAGTTGCAAAATTGCGTATGTCCCCAAGTCATAGACACATTTCTGCCTAAGTCACAGTGCGCCATTATGACGTCACTTAACTGTGTCATACAAGTTAACTTAAATCCGGCTACGACCAAAAAATTGAACCATGGCAAATTATTGACTCTCAATGGCATAACAATATCATTAGGAAGTTTTTTTACGTTTTTCTCAAAACTGCTAAAAATGACTTACGCAATTCGGTTATTAGCGTGACGATATGTAAAGCTTAATGAATAAATAAAATATGGTTTGCAAAATTGCTATTTTGTGTTATTGCCTCTCCTCTCTGCAAAAATGAAATAAGTCTGCAAGACGGATAATCTAACACTTCTTATCGACTTTCCTCTCAACGAAATATTGCCGAACTTATGTGGCCTGCGCTGGAATTCATCGACAAAACAAGTTAATAGTCCGTCAAACAGCTGGGTAAAAGACGACAAAATCGACCCTTCGAGTATCTATTCGTGCACATACAGTACATCTGTTTATAGCGCATGTTTTTATTAGTTGTCACAACATCGTCTAAATTCAGGCAAACGGCTTCTTTCACTTCAACTTAGCACAACCGGATTTTACAGAACATGTGTAATATAACTCGTGATCATTGCAATTCACGTAGTTAACTATTCTAAGTCAACCTCATAGCTTTCAAATATTTCCAGCAAAGCTGTTTTCTATATAAATGGGACGTAAATACCACCTATTACAATCAAACTCATTCATGCGAAGGGAAATTAGGCCAAACATTAACTATACAACTCGTGACTAGGACCAATCCTTTCTCTCTCTTTCTACTCTTATTACAAACGAGAGATCAGACGTTTTCGTACCCTTCAATTGAAACCATTCCCAGTCGAAAACTATTGTGGATATATGTATAATCTAACACGAAGCATCAACAAAGCCTATCATTTAATAAGCCGCCATGCTTGCGATCGATCGAACTATAAAAACATACATAAATTCTCGACATGAAATATGTGACGCGTTTTAGGTTTGTGTACTTTGTATGTTTGTGGATCGTTCGACGTAACGATCCTCACGTGAGTTAGGATGTGGTATAAAATGTAACAGAAATGAAAACGTATACTGATATTTTATAGTAATTCAATGCAATTCGCAAATAAATTTATTAGACTTGTTTGGATATAGCGTGAAATGATATTTACAAGGTCACTATAGCATAATCCCGGATATGTATGATAAAGTCACGCCATATTCAAGTGCAGCGAGTACTCTTATTCAAATATCACTAAGAATAGGATTATGTCACTACTAAATATTAACATGACAAGCTTCACATAAATCTAATACATAACTTTTCGAACGCAAAAAAAAACGCTAGTTGTCGGTGCACTTGACCAATTCACTTCAGTTGTCTAACGTCTAAATAAAAAATAAAATGGGTTCAATGATTATTATGATATCTCAAGAAAGGACTGGCGCGAATACGTACGAAACCTCTGAATACCACCACTGGCCTAAAGATATCTGGAAATCCCGAATTTCACGCTGCTCACTTGTTCAATTACAACATGCTGGGACAGCTGGATGCATTATATGTAAGAATGGAAATTTCTGTCAAAAAAAAGTTGGCACAAATTATTCGATAGCTTTATCTAGCTTTCAAATTTGAAGCTTTCGGCATTATTTTACAAAAATAATAATACGGTCCCTTTTTTACAAGACGAATGTGCGCTTTTTGAACAATAAACTTCATTTTATTTTTTTTTAAATTACCGTCAAGGAATTGCGGATTAATTACTTTAAACATATCCTGGTCGTCGTTCTTTCATTGCCGTATTTGTATCACCACCAGTTTTAACTTTTATGTTTTTCAGACTCTCTTGTCGTTTAGTTTGAAGTCCTTTTTGTTTTTGTACAGTTTGGGCAGTTTATAATGTGTCCATATATAAACATATAAATATAAACTAAAAAATATTATTAGTAAAACAACAAAAACAAAATTCTTCTTTAAGTACGACTAAATTCTTCTTGGCTGGGAAAAGTGGGTTAAGTTAATTGCAAGCGTTAACTATCTAATATTGATTAACCAATTAACCGGCTGAACTGTCTTAATTTTAAAGACGCCACAAAAACGATATGGTTTATTTAGTGTCTTGCAGCACCGTCCGCTGGAGACAAACATCGCGAAGAAAATTTTCCCACTACCTTGTGGTTCCATTACATTTGAACCCACGTACATTTGAACCCATGACAATTGCACCTGCATACTATTGCACCTATGGAATTTTTTTTGTTTTACGGATATTTGAACCCATACTCACCCTAACTCATGGGTTTTAGCACCCGTATATAGATTGAATCCGCGGATATACGCATGGGTTCAAATGTACGGTCACCCTACCTTGTACCACTAACTCATTGTATATATATAAGACCAACTGCTGTTTCTGTATTAAACGTATATTCCCGTATAGCCATCTACCTATCCTTAAAGACGTTTCTAAACACTCTACGTGGATAGACCGCGTAAAATTATCTATAGAAAATTGCCCTATAATAGCGCAAAGCCATAGTTCACGCTGCCCCAGGCAACAATTATAATAAATTCAACCATTTCGACAAATCTAATGTATGTCATTTTTTATATAATTATCTTTTTTTTTTATCACGAATTGGCGGCCGCGATATATTTCTGTAGTATTGAATTAGAATGTCAAAAACTCCCACATTGATTTATAACGCATCATATCCTTTCTTTGTTCTGTGAGGGATTCACGTCTTGCAGTGCAAGCAGAAAACGAACGCTTCGGGACTTACCCTCGCTATACTAGATTTGTTACTATGATGTCATAATTTGGCCTTGTACTATCTTATGAATTATCGACATTTTCCATTGTCGAATAATAAACTGTAACTTTGCAATGTACTGGCGATGTAATTAAAGACTTCACAAAAAATATTAATATCAGCATTTGCGCATATCATATCGACCAATTTATCAATTTCTGCATATTTATTATGTCCTGGAGAAATTTAATTCAAAGTTTCGAGAAATATCTTGTTTCGTGAACAACTATGTCTGGTGTCGTTTGCAATTCTTCTATTGTAGAAACACCTGGAAACAAAGTTATATAAATGAAGCATGTTACTCGTTAGTTGCAAAATGTAGCTTACTTTGTTTCACTTTTCGGCTGGTATGTTAGAATTGATGGTGAGGTGTACATGATCGTGATTTTCACTCGCTATCTGGTAATTGAAATTTAGTGTGAATTTGATCTGTTTTAGTTACGGTATCACTTATTGCAAGTTGGTAATTTTGGCTGTTATTTGAAGTTTAGCATTGGAATCACTTTGGTTTTCTCAATAAAATTGTGAAAAACCACCAACTAATATCATGTTTTTGCATTAGGTTAAATGCCTCCAAAGTTCTTCAACGAAGTAAAACTGGAGTTGAAAAAGAAATCTTTGTCAATAGTGTTTAATTTAAGAAACAAGTTTTATTAAAAACGTTCAAACATGTAGTACATACCGGAATAGCACCAATGTTGCATTATGTTATATTAGGTATAAAGACTACCAACTCACCAAGAAATTGCATGGTGTAGATAAATTCGTTTTTGAGAATTCCTAGAACATTCCTCACACCTTCTTCCCCCTGAAAGGTATTGTTTCGTTTTACTATTGTCATATCAAAAGAATGTTCTACATGTCTATTAGAATACTTTGCACTAATTTCAGGAAAAATTCACTTTTTGCAAATGTAATCTTACTCTAGTTTCCGAAAGGGATGATCCTAAAATAAAATCGGCCACATGTTTCACCATCGACCATCATATATAATAATAGCAAATTGGATAACTCTCGGTATGTTGGCTCTCTTGAAAATATATATTAAATACAGAAATGATCTTGTTACATACTTTGCATGCTAGTCCCCAGATTATGGGTCTTCCAACAAAAACCGCTTTTGCTCCGAGAGCGATTGCTTTTGCTATGTCTGTTCCTTTACGGATTCCTCCGTCAAAATAAACATCAACTCTGCCATTCACGGCCTTCACTACTTCTGGAAGAACATCTATCTAAAATTGTGTTCAGTAAAAATGTTCAGTTTTAAACTTGAAATTCAAGTATTTACATAGAAGATGAAAATCATGGATATGGACATAAACTTACATGGACGTGATAACACAACAATCATTGGTATAAAATGATCTTCTGCTTTATTAAAAAATGTATTCGGCGGCAGAAAATTCACAAATGAATGGGAATTAAAATCTTGCTTCGATTGGACTTTACGAAACAGATTTAGGTTTAAATTCTCTTCGAGAATGAAAAGACGTTAAAAGGAAAAATGATATGAACAACATGCGTTTCCTATTTTCTCTTTCATTGCTTATCGATCTCGTTCGGTAAATATGTTGATAAGTGTTTGTCTGTCTGTTAGACTATTTCGTATGCTACGTGATATCTCACGGAAGCGAGGTTGAATCTGCTCCAAATTTTCCATGATCATTCATCATATATCGAACCAGAAGCCTATTGATTTTGCATTGAAATATGTCGTATAGGCGAGTTATTGATTAATTAGTGATGGGACACGCGGTGTCGCTATGGAGTCAGAGAGATAGAATCGAAACCGCAGTTTCTGTTCTGGAGGATCCCCTACCTTTTGACAGAAAAACGAAAACTTGAAAGATTAAAGATTAACACAAAGTTTGTAGTTGTCGGAATAGGTTAAAACATTGTGGTAACTCTTAATACATGAATCCGCCGAAGCCAGAACAGAACAATATCTGATATTTCTAACCCTACATAGACTCTATATTCATGTATACTCACTGTCGCGAGTGTACTATCCAATATTCGTCCGCCATGGTTTGATACAATGATTCCGTCAACCTTGTGTTCAACTGCCTTAATTGCCATTTCCGCTTAATATAAAAATAATGAAATGTTCTTCAAAGAATGTTTGTATTCAATGTTTTATCCATTTCTGGTTTCCGTATTTGCAATACAAAGCCTAGAACGTAGAATAACTTAAAATAGTTTAAAATCATAGCAATAGCTTACCTGTCAGAATTCCTTTAACCACTACAGGTAAGTCCGTAATTTCTTTCAACCAATCGATACTGTCCCATTCAACACTTCCATTCATCCAGGATTGAAACGCAGCAAATGCCGACTGGTCAGGTTCCACAATCTTGGTCGATTGTTCAATATTTCTGCTTCTAAAGTATCCAGAACATAATTCTACTTAAACGAGTTTAAATGCTCAGTATCTAATTGATGGCATTGCGATTCTGGGTAATTATCAGCGTGTGTGCAGTTTACAAATTTGTGTCGTCATGTTTTGAGAGCCTGACTTTTTGTGCTCGATTTTGTGCACTTTTTGTAAACTCAAATATTTCGATTTCAGGATAGTTTCTATGTTGTGTGTATTCACGAACACATAATAAACTACACAAAACGGGCGTACGACTTGCGCATAACATTAGCAAAGAATTCAATAAAAATGAAATAAAAGTAGTTTTATGTACAGGGATGGAGAAATAAAAAATTCCAAAATAGACGAAGAAAGAAATTTGACAAAAAGGTTGGGAAATGCGGGAAACGTTCAACGTGAAATAAGTTTTGAAGAGCCAAGAGTAAAACCCATTGATCCTGTCCGATTCAAGTGAAAATAAATGCAGAAATAAATCTTACCTAATGGATGTATCAAAGTTAAATGGTCTTCCGTCTTCGTATCTGTGGTCACGATTTCTAAAAACCGGTTCATCGATAGTTACAATAAATCCTTTGAATTCGTTTTTTTCAGCTCTTCTCACAAAATGCTCTGTTACAATACGATTCTATGAAATATTTGAATATCAATAAGCCAAATATTTGCAAATCTAGAATAGATAGAGACTTTGAATACATACATATGTATAGAAAATTTTTAACCGTCATCATTTAGGGTCTAAAGCAGTGGTTCTCAAACTTTTTGAGCCGCGAGAATTTTTTAGAATTTGTCAAGTCTCGCGACCAACCTCAAAAATAACTAGCTAGCAATAAGCTACAAATAACAGATAGTAAGGCGAAATTATGTTTTATCCAACAAATACGTGTATAAAGGGACCTCCAGAAATATGCGCACCAAGATGGCGCACAACCTGAACATAGAATGTGTGTACCGGTTAGGGTTCAGGTTGTGCGACATATTGGTGTGCATACTTCTGGAGCACCGTAATAAAGAATTGTTAATGAGAGACGCGTTCCGCCGTTTGAGTACCACTGGTCTGAAGATTAGACAATCGGAATGTTGTAGTTTGGTATTCACAACTATTTCTATTTCCAGTATTATGTCAAACGTCGAAAAATAATAGAATGAACTGATTTTCTATAACAGAGTTTTCTTTTTTAAGAATTTCGTGCTTATTCAGTCCGTCATTGATAAACTGTTGCTTGTATTAAGACGGGGTGTTCGCCGCGTATAAATTTTTTATTATCGCAGACTTCTAAATGTAAACACGTGTTTATTACTATTTATTTTTACAATTTACTTTTTTCATACCAACCTTAGTTAATTGAAGTTGACACCATTTTATGCAGTTTGGCACCTCAGTTGCGATCTCTTCCATAGTTTTGTTACTCCATAAACTTACTGCCATTCCTACGCCAATTGATTCGGCGGCTGAATAAAAATCATTTTATATTGTGTTTTATTGTGTGTTATTAACTCAATCTAATGTTCGAGATATATAATATTGAAAGAAATATATGCTGCAGTCTATTTACCTCTTGCAGTACAAAATTCACCTTCTGGCGCACACAGACGATGAAATGCCGTTGGTGCAATACATATTGGAAAAGGTACTTTCGAACCAATTACTTCTGTCGCACAATTCACTCTGCTAACGTTCTTTAAATTCCTGGGTCGAAATCGCCATCTGTGTATAATATTGCATTTGAAATATTTTTCTCATTATTTTTTGATTCATTTATCCAACAACCATAACCCAGCAGTATTGAAGCAATACTCTTAAATAATGTTTGAGAAATATTATTTTCATGAATTCTCGAAGTTTGCTCTAAATTTGAATTCAAAAGATATAACTTGTGCAAAATTCGAGATAGCGCACCAAGTTAGTAGCCGTGCAAAGTGTTATAAGAGCAAAACAACAATATCAACCCAGCACATCAAGTATTCAAGTAAAAACAGAAGTAATAGGCCAAAAAAAAACGTCAAAATATTATTCGCCATATTAAATCGTTAATTTCCCTTTTAAATGCTTCACAATTTTCTTTTACAGTTTCTCCTCCTACAGCTCCTGCAGCAAAGTAGCCCCAATCACGTTGCGATAACTTTTTTCGAGCCTCTTCCTCATAATCGCTTACTGATAGCAATAAATTATCCATGGACAGAAGGTTCAAATTCTTCGCCAGTAAACTAATATTTTAAGCATGTAGGGTAAGCACACGTATATATAGAGGTTTTTATTTGCAATTTCACTCATGAGTCGACAGAATCAAAGATTCCCGGAAACAATACAATTGATTGCTTGAATTGATTAAACCTTCTCGGTAGGATTCAAAAATAGGTAACAAAAAATATCAATTTTGCAAAGTCTTGATCGTGACACACACAATCTTTCTAATCTAAAATATACATCTTACTTCTGTCTACTTTTAGAATTCTACACAACTCCCTGCAATGGTTATTTGAATCAATCGACAACTGAAATCGCTGTCGCAATCGCGCAACTCATTTCGAGTCCAAATTACAACAAAAGTCGAGTGCGATTTTTTTTTTATCACTGCCATTACCATATCTACTGGTGAGTTTGCGACACGTTCTAAACAAACACCGTTGTCGCCACATCGTATGTATACACTGATTCCTTCAGTAAAACCATGCTTGAAGTATAAACCAAATGTACTAACCACATTGGGTTTAACGAATGTCACACATGGCAGTAAGAAATTTCTCTAAACTAGTTAAGCTAGTTCAAGTACCAAGTTTATTGCATTGCCGTTAAAGCCTCCAATGACATTTGAATCAAGAAAGTTTCCTGTGGTTACATCTCTTGGTGGTGCTCGGAGTCCTTTTATATAAATGAACTACAATACTGCAGCCTATTCGACAGACAGCCCGGATCCTGGGTTGGACAATGAGACAAATAGCGGAGGACGCTGTAGACAAGATGCTTGAACTAGGGATGATTGAGCTGAGTGATAGCCCGCACTTGCCATCAATTGTTCTGATACGGGTGTATCCGTTTTTGTAGTGATTTTTGGTAGCTTCATTCAATCACTTACTAGGATACCTACGCTTATTACTTATCGATTTTAATCGGTAAGTATGTTGATAGGTATTCGTCTGTCTGTCTGTTAGATGCACGCGATATCTTACGAAAACGAGATTGAATATGTTCCAGATTTTGCATGTGCATTCATCATAATTATCTTGGACCAGAAGCCTATTGATTTTGGGCGAATTATGTCGTATAATTAGCGAGTTATTAATTAATTAGTGATGGGACACAAGGTGTCACTATAGAGTAAGAGCGCTGTTTTGGGGATCCCCTAATTTTCGATCGATAAGTCTTCGGTCTGACCGATATTCTCGTTTTTGTCATTATTAGTGTTCATCTGTTGCTTAATATTTTATAATGGAGAATAAAACATTCTTGTATAAAGTTCTATGTAGAAGAAGGGAGGGGGTGGGGAATGTGACGACCCATATTTTTAGATTTATAACACCATTATTTGATTTTACTGTTAGATTCTGTATTTTAATGTTCGAGACACCAAGGCGCTGTAGCACCGTCCGTCAGTCTTTTGTTTGTATTGAGTTGTTTTCAGCTTATTTCGTAAATAATTAGTTAGTTAGCTGGTTAGCTATATATATATACCAGATTTTAGGGTTTCTCTCCAAATTTCAGGTCTTTTATTGTATATATATATTTATGTATAATGTTTTTTCTTACGATGTTCATACCGGGTATTTGTTAATTTTATTGCATCCTTTCTGTTCTATCGAGTTCATGGGAATATTTGGTTGTATTAAGACTGTTAGGTTATACATGAGATTAAAATAGCATTAATTGAAGTGAATATTGAGAAAAAGATTGACATCAGACCATATTAGAAGATATTTCAAGCCGGGAAAAGTCGTAGGCTACATAGATTGACGGTACGTTTCACACTATCATGACGTATTCAAATATTGATTAGGGCTGACCTTGACAATCTTGATAAAATGAAGAGACTCGGCTTGCCCTGTAAGCATGAGGGATAGCAGCCTATAAGTAATTACGTTATAACACGAGCCAAGTATATTCATTTTATTGTGAGTGTCGAGCCCTAATCAATATTTAAACGGATAATAAAGGATTGTCGTATGGGATCTGCTACTATCAAGTTGTGGAAAGTTATTATTATGTCCATTGTTATGTTGAGGATGATTTAGAAACACTCAGTGTTTTGAACACGCAAAGTGCTTCTTATTTGTGTAATCTGCAATGTCACTGCTAAATTTTAAATAACAGTTGTGTCACTTGTATTCCTACTTGTTTGCATTAGTCGATGACTGCATGTAATTTTTTATAGCTTGAACGTCCTTCAAGGTTCTAGCTGTAATGCAAATACGTGATACTTGAAAGAAAACTTTTCACTGGCATGTGTGACTTCCGTAAAATCCAGTGTTAAGCTCCCTTGGTTTGTACTTAATTAATGTCGTTGTGTGCATACGATGCGGCGACAGTGATGTTTGTTCAAAGCGTGTCGCAAACTCCCAAGTATAGATATATATGGTACTGGTAGCGCCATAGTCGGCCATTGTAAGGGTTATGTAGAATTCTTGAAAGAGGGAATGACTGTAGTAAGCTATGTTTTTAGATTAGAAAGATTTTGTATGTAATGATTCAGACTTGCACGAGTGATATTTTACGACCTATTTTTGAATATTTGTAGTTACCGAGGCTGATGGCAATGTCTCAGGAAGGTCGCCAGCCAGCCTTAGTTCACTGTTTGAATCTAAATTTAATTGCGTACGACGTAAGGAATCTGACAGTAATCCATTTATAAAATCTCCCTTGCCCGTATCCTACTGATGCCAGATTGATTTCGCACTTTTTAAACGTTCATAGTTGTTCCAAAATAACGGTATGGGATTAGTATGTAGTGTATAGGAAGAAATATTTATATATTCTATTCTCGGAATATGAAAATTTGTTTTTGAAACACCACTCATTCATATATATATATATATTACATCCGTTCGACCGTGAACAAATCGTCTGCAAAGAAAGTATTATAGATGAGTCGTGCTTGATTCACTTCTCACACTCTTGTCGCTTTCAGTCTGGCAAAAAGATAAATTGTAAAACCGATCAATTGTATGATTTCCTCAAATCTAGGAGTCTGTCGACTCATTAGATAATTGCACGTGCTTACACTTTTCCTACTTGCTTACAATTTCAGTTAATTCGCAAATATTTAAAACATTTTAGTCCATGGAGAACCTATTGCTATCAGTAAGCCATTATGAGGAAGAAGCTCGAAGAAAGTTATCGCAACATGATTTGGGCTATTTTGCTTTTGCTGCAGGAGCAAGAGAAACCATGAACGAAAACTGTGAAGCATTTAAAAGGAAAAATATTCATTGTTTAGCTCATATTCATTGTAAATATGATTGAATATGTATTTAATATAAATGTTTTATTGTTTCTTATTTTAAATGCTGTGTATATGAATCAATGAATTCATTTTACCTTTCTATGTCGTTTACTTCCTGTTACGTAGTGTCTGTTACGTAATAATAGAAATAGACACAACTTGCTGCAATTTTGCGAGCTGCAGTTTATTTATCTGCTGAACCGCGATTTGCGAACATGCTTGATTTTTTCAGCATTTCAAAGTAAAATCAGGCAGAGGTGAAGAAAAAGAGTTGACCTTTTGCCTTTATTTCTTGGGCCTACATGTTTGCAAAATTTATAAAAGACATAAAGTACACATTAAAGATCACACATTAAGTTTTAATTAAAAGGAGCATTTTTTCGTTCAATTTATCGTGAGTTTTTACACTGATAATTTGGGACCGCACGAACAAAAATTTTGGGAACCGCTGGTTTAGCTTTTACAACTCTTTGCGCGGTAACTAATTTGGTGGAATATCTTGAATACGCAATGTAAAATCGGAAATATCTGGTTTAAGATATCACAAAAACTTTGCACAATTTGTAAATTTTGCATCCAAATTTAAAGTTATTCAGAATTACTTCAATACTGTTAGGGTTGCAAAACTTGAAATTGCAACATTGTCGGGAAAATGTATAAAAAAATATTTAAATTGTAAAATTATACACAGATGGCGATTTCGACCCAGGATTTTAAAGAACGTTAGCCGAGTGGATTGCTCGACAGAAGTAATTGGTTCAAAAATACCTTTTCCAATATGTATTGCACCAACGGCATTTCATCGTATGTGTGCGCCAGAAGGTGAATTTTGTACTGCAAGAGGTAAAGTGACTGCAGCATATATTTCTTTTAATAATATATATCTCGAACATTAATTGCAAGTTTCACAAAATATAAAATGATTTTTATTCAGCCGCCGAATCACTTGGCGTAGGGATGGCAGTAAGTTTATGGAGTAACAAAACGATGGAAGAGATCGCATCTGAGGTGCCAAACTGCATAAAATGGTGCCACGTTCAATTCATCAAGGTTGGTATGGAAGTATCAATTATTCTACTTCATAGTAATAAATATCCGTGCTTACATTTAGTAGTCTGTAAACATAAAACATAAACTCCGATTAAGGTACTACCGCAGTATGTGAACTAGGTTTGGGGTAGGCCATAATTTTATACTGATTTTACCTATTTTAGTTCTATTACGAGTTCCTGGACTGTCTGTGTTAGCCTCTCGTCCATAGGTTTCAGTCCCTTTACACAACTTTTGTAATGAATGTGAAATATGCGAACAAAAATAATCATCTCCATAATGGTACACATACTTCTGGAATCCCGATTAATTCAAGCAACAATTTGACGATGACTAAGTAAGCATCAAATCCTAAATGCTGAAATACCCCAACTGGGTTATTGAAAATCAGTTCATTTATTTCGACCTGACAAAGTTCAGCACATTACTGGAAATTTAAAGAGTTATGAAGGACGACAACGGTCGTCATCAACCCACGACATTCCGTATTCATAAACTTCAAAACCTCTAACTCAGAAAAGAATGATTAAGTGTTTTCCTACACATGTATTTGAAGTCTCTGTCAATTCTAGATTCACTTTAGTACTTTCTTTACCTTACTAATATTCAAATATTTCATAGAATCGTATCGTAACAGAGCATTTTGTGAGAAGAGCTGAGCAAAACGGATTCAAAGGATTTATAGTGACCATCGATGAACCGGTTTTTAGAAATCGTACTCATAGATACGA